TATATCAGCTCTTAGCATGAGAGTCTCCATCTCTTGGTAATAGTCTTCGACAGACCGGGTCCCTTGAGTAAGCCTCCTGATACTCTGATGCAGTTCTCGATGATAATGGCTTGGCACAAATCGTTTTCTCATGATGGCCTTCATCTCATTCCAACTCTCAACCGGATACTCGCCGTTCCTTCTTCTTGATGTAACTAACTGATCCCACCAGCTAAAAGCATAGTCATAAAACTCAGTAGCAGCAACTCTTACGTGATTGATCTCGGTATAGTGTTGGCAGTTAAACACCAACTCTATCTTTTTTTCCCATTCTAGGTAAGCATCAGGATCGTTCTTCCCATGGAAGGGAGGAATCCGAAGCTTAAGCCCTCCAAAATTGTCTTGAGGGTAAGCCCTTTCCTCTCTTATTCGTCTATGTCGTCGGCGATTACTCCTTGACGAGCTACTGTCTCGGCTATAATACTCTTCAGCCGCCTCGTCTCTGGCTGGTCGGGTTTGTTCACGAGCCCTCTCCGGAGATTGATCAGTATTCCTTCTCCTGGCATCTCGGTTCGGCCTTGAGTCAGAGTTCTGATGTTGGATCTCTTGTCTGAATTCTTCGAACTGAGCGGCCATCAGCTTTTTTTATCTCGGCCATCATTGCTTCCATCAATAGTTTGTTATTTTTGTTGCTGGACTCTTCACGATTATCAGACATCTTTTCCTGCGAACAACACAAAGTGGATCACTAGCAACGATTCTTTGGCTCTATAAAAATGACCATTCGTATTCTTCAAGCAATCAGGAAACCCTATGAGCGATCTAATCAGTTTTGAATTTGAAGCGACACTTATTACACAAGGTTCCGATGATGTTGATTTACTAGATTCAATAACAGAATGAAACGATCTATAGTTTATGATGCAACAAACACAGATTGTGATAAACTAGGTTTGCTGATCAAGGTTTAAAGTTTGAGATCGTTTTTGATATGATAGAACGGATCTAAACGTATAAATAGATTAGACACAACCTGATCCACGTCGATCCTTGCTTAGAGCGGCTCTGATACCACTTGATACGTTCCTCCTTTAGATCTTCACTCTAAACACTGGATCTCATAGTTTTGGATAAGATTTGGGTATTAACTTTGAAAGAAACTGAGGGAATGATAGGTCACACAAAGGTTGCGGAAGGCCTTTGATATACCAAGGTGATTCGATGGATATGACACACCAAAGAATCGGGTTGCTTGAAAGATATAACACACTCACAAGCTAAGATGTTCAAGAGAACAAATGATCTACCTTAGAAAGAGTTTTGATAGAAAAGATAGATGAGTTTAACAAGGAGCGTACAAGGGTTTAAAAAGAAAGAGAACAAGTCTGTGACAGCCAAGACTTGTCTCGGAAATAACTAAGACAATGAAGACTAAGTTTGAATAAGGAAGAAACAAGAAAGAAACTCTTCTTCTCCAAAGGAGAGGGAAAAAGAGTGCAAATGGGTCACATGCCCATTCACTGATCATCTTGAGCCTGTATAGAAACCAATGCGGCTTGTATAGCAACTTCTCCCTCCTGGCTCAAGACATTAGCTTGTTTCCAACTGGTTCTAAGCATAGCTCCGATAGCTTCCTTAAGTTTCTTGCTCCTTGATCGAGTTATTGGACCGGCTGGCATCTCCAAAGCTTCTTCTATATCTGGTTCTTCTTGTTCTTCTAGTCCAACTGCTTTAGCTTCAAGTTCCAAGTCCTCTAGGCTGTCCATGATCGCATCATGCCTCGTATAAATTCTCCCATGGAACATATCAATTGGCTGAACCAAATAGCAAAACAAACATAGACGAGATGGATGACTCGGGGATGACCTAGGTGTGGCGGACCCAAGCATGGTGAACCCAAGAGGCTGACTACATGCATGATGGAAAAAATTCTAGTAGTCTTTGATCTAAGTTATCATTTATTATGCTATATTTCCTAGAATAAAGTTATTGAACAGCATTGAATGTTTTCTCTATAAGTATGTATGGAATAAACTAAGAGGAATGAAAGAGAGAAGGAAGAGAGCTAGACTTAGCTTGTCCTACTATATTCAGCCGCATACAGCTTATTCTCAAGTAGATTTCGTCCATCATCAGTCGTAATGATCTGAATCACAAACAGCTCTAATTGAGTTAGTTCTGCTCATTCCTTCTACTCAATATTCTCTATTCTTCCAGAACTGTCTCATACTCGTATTCTCATTTTCAAAACATGTTCTCATACTATACAAACACGTCTGCTGTCAATCTCTTTCTCTAGGAATAGGAATTCTGTTTTAGAGCATTTGAATTGGTGTTATCACAGATTTCTACATAAACAAAAGGCTGCGTAGAGCAAATTTTAACAATCTCAGATGCTTATCCCTGATCACAATTATGATTAGAAGCAAATCTGTTGCAATACGTTGATAAAATTGGAAGTAGGATGAAGCAACATGTTTCATTGTTACGAGCCATTTATTAGGAAGCAAAACAAAACAAAACAACAATCGGTCCTTTTATAATGTTATCAAAATTATGATTTCCGTCACATTTGTTAAAATAATTGAAAATTTGAAAAGAGAAATTGAATCAAACAGCTCTAAGAAACTTAAGACTCTATGGAATAGTTCTCATTTGGGAAGGGACACATTTAGCCTTCATTAAAGTGAGATTGATTAGATTCGCGATTTCAAATCACCGGAGATTTCATTTAACCCTATCACGATTTCCAAACTTCGGCGAAGAGGATACATTTTCCGATTTCATTTCACCCGATCACGATTCCAAATTCCAGCAAGGACGATACAAGTCCTCTGATTATCCTGGAGCTGGGGATCGAAGAGATTGTCGCGAGAGATCCTGGTTTGTTTTGACGAACTGATTCTTCTGAAGCGAAGGAATCGATTTCACACTAGAGAGAATCACAGATTCTGGTGAGAAGTGAAGAAATCGATTTTAGCTCACCAACGATTGAGAGATTTCTTATCCGCATATCATCGTCGATTCACACCTCTCATCATATCTGATTAAGCTCACCGATGAATATCTCAGGTTGTTTTGGATTCACATCTTTCGTAGATTCACATAGGGCAATTCATCTGTCATTATAGCTGTTTGACTACTGCTGTTGTTTTGGATTAAAAGATTTCTTCTAGTTTCAGAGTTGCAAAATGGTGAGAATTTGTGTTGGGAGAAAATGCTAAGAAAGTGTGTTCGGAAGAGAACTCATTTGGTATACTTAGGAAGGCATTCCTAATTGATAAATGAACTGAAATTCCTGTTTTTCTTCTTCTTGACAGGCTCTATTGAAACAAATATGGTTGAAGTTTTTTGTGTTTATGGTGAGTGGAAGAAAAATGAGAAGCAGAAATGTGATTTTGAAATGGATGCAAATGAAGGATCAACTATTTTTGAGTTTGATGAGCATCATACATTCAAGGATTTAGTTGAGATGGTTCATGATGATTTAGGGATCGATTCCAGAACTGTTATTGGATTTAGCTATTGAGCCCCCTTGAAGATGAGGTTGGTGGTTCACAATTGTCCACCAGTGTTTCTTAAGAACGATCGCCAACTGAGGAGTTTCATCAACTTAATTAAATCATCATCTGAAGTGATTCATTTACATGTAACTGTGACTGAAGATTCTTATGTTGATGATTCATCTGCACATGGAATTCAACACGTAAACATCATCTGAATTCATTCATAGTTAAATCATTATTGTTTCTTATCATTTAGGCAGACCTTCATTAACATTTGTATTTTAACTTTCTTTGTGTAGCTAATTCATAGATCCAATTCTTCAAATTCCACCTTACCCACTCAATTATCTGGAACTGCACATGCTATTTGTCAATTTAATCATGGAAATCAACAGGTGATGCATGCTTAGTGTTTTGCACAGTTCTAGTGAAATCCTGGGTTTTTAAATATGATATAGTTTCTTAAATAACTTATATGTATTCCTAAATGATTCCTAAAAGGTTTTGCATCATCTTTTTCTTTGTGTAGCTAACTCATGTAGCAAATGGCAATGGCAATATAACATCTGCTGCAAACAGATTTTTGGGTGCCGATACATTACGGTTTGCGTCAAATCTTACCATTTCTTATAGTGGCATTTCAAATTCAACCCAACTCGCACAAATGTCTGCAACTGCACCTACTGTTTTTTATCTGGATGTTTCATTCAATCAAGGAAATCAACACGTAATGCAAGCAATTATAGTTAGTGTTTGCACGGTTCAAGAGGAGTCCTGAGTTTTTTAGATATCGTTTCCTAAATAATTTATACATATTCCTAAATAATTCCTAAAAGCCTTCTTTGTGTAGCTAACTCATGGAGCAAATGGAGACGACAATTCAACATGTTCTACTTTCGATGCTCTGCGTTCTGCTCCTGACCTTTCTCCTATAGGCATGGCATATCCCTCAGTTGATTTATATGTCAACAAACACTTCAAGAACAAAAACGAGTTGATGTTGCAAATGAGGAAATGGGCATTGGATTGGAAGTTTGAATTCAGATCAGCTTGGTTAAAATCTATTGACCCCAATTGCACATGGAGGATGCGTGCAACAAATCCCCCTTCTTCTGATTTCTTTGTGGTGAGAACTTATATAAGTGAACATAACTGTGATACAACTCATAGGAACACCAACCATAGGCAAGCAACTGCCAAGGTGCTTGGGACTCTGATTTGCAGCAATTATGGAGACAAGAAGTATGGTCTTAACCCGAAACAAATCATGGAGCAAGCCAGACTCGACCATGGTGTACACATTGGATACAAACAAGCTTGGAGGATTAAAGAGTTTTCTCAGGATTTAATAAGAGGGACTCCCGAGGATAGCTATCAAAACATCTGAAGTGGTTGTTTAATGTTAATGAGAAATACCCTGGATCAAAGGTTTATCTCTTAAGATGGATCCAAATGGAAAATAAAACCAAAAACAGCTTTGTTGCTTTTGGTCAATCGATAAGAGTATTTGAGCTGATGAGTAGAGTTATTGTTGTGGATGATATTTTTCTTAAGGGAAAATTTAAAGGAACATTGCTTGCAGCTAGTGCACAGGACAAAGATTATTCATTGTATCCGCTTGCGTTTGGGATAGTTGACTCTGAAAACGAATATGTGTGGACCTGGTTTTTTAGAGGGCTCAAGACCGTGATCCCTGATGCGTCTGATTTGGTATTTGTTTCAGATAGAGCTCATGTCATTGCAAAGGTACTTTCAGTGGTTTATCCGCTTGCACATCATGGTATTTGCAGAATTCATCTGTTTGAGGAATATAACACCAAAGTATGGGAGAACTGGGTTGTTGCCACTTGTAGAAGCTGCAGTTGACGCTTACACTCGTGATGAGTTCATTGACATCTTCAATGACATAAGGAACAGGAGCTCCAAATTAGCTCCATATTTGGAAGAATCTGATTTTGCAAAGTGGGCTCGCTATTTGGAAGAATCTGATTTTGCAAAGTGAACAGGTAAGTACAACGCTTTAAGCAGCTATGACTAATTTTTAGGAAGGTTATCCTAAATTGTTTCTCAGTCTTTTCTAACTTGTGGTATTGCTTGTATGCACCTTTGAACAGGTACAATATCATGACAACCAACATTTCAGAGTCTCTGAATTCGATTTTAAACTTGGCTCATGAGTTTTCAATAATGTCTCTGTATGAGACTATTAGGTTAACTATCACAACATGGTTTTATGAACTCGGGAAAAAGCTTTTAAACACAAAAAGTTCGTCACACCACACATAGTGAAGATGATGTTAGAGAGATACAATTCTGCAATGAAACTTGATATTTTCCAAATAGATCGGTATGAGTTTGAAGTAAAAGACGAGACTCGGAAGTACATTGTTCATCTGGAAAACAAGCAGTGCATTTGTCTCATTTTTGACATCGACAAAATCCCCTGTGTCCATGCTATTGCTGCAGCTAAGCGTACAAACAAGGATGAGAACAAGTTTTTGGATCAGGCTTACTTGACAGAAACCTGGGCTAAAGCATATGCTTAGAGAATTCACCCATGTGGAGATTTGACAAATTGTGATTTCCCAGATTATGTTCAAGTATATTCATGCGCACCACCTACTTGTAAGTAAACCAGTGGGAGACCTCCGACAAAGAGAAAGAGATCAAGTGGAGAGTTTGGTGTACCCGGTTCAAAATCTGAAGGACACAAATGTAGCAGATGCAATGTAGGAGGACGCAACAGGAGTACATGCAGATCACCTTTATAAAGATTTTCAATTTCTACAGGAAGATATCACAGAATTTTTAGCAAGACGATTGCTTCTTTATTGGTTTAGGAATATACCATAAGTTTTAAGGAATGATTTCCTAAATATTTATATTCAAACACTTGTAAAGGTTCAGGCCTTGGTTATGATTTGTTTGAACTTTCTATATGTGATGAGATTCTTATAAAATAGTATACTATATTATTGATTCATTAGACTTGAAAATGTTTTAAAAAGCTTAAGGTTTGAGAGTTAAACAAGAAAGATTAAGAGCTTGAGAGAAATAAAAGATTCAAACTTTATTATTGATTCATTAGACTTTTAAAATGTTTTTGCAAAGCATAAGGTTTGAGAGTTAAATAAGAGAGCTTAAGAGGGCTTACTAAATTCTAAATTTCTGGAAGGCCTTTATAAATGTTTAGGAAGGCGTTCCTAAATATATTAAAACACTAGCAATGGTTCATGTGATTTTCTGCATTATCAATACTCGGTTTGAATTCAGTTCAGCTTTAGATAGACATTAGTTCTAGTTCATTAGTATAATCTTTAACAGTTTGGTTTGATTTATCTTTAATTTGATTACGGTTTAGTTTGGGTTGTAAGTCATAGACCAAAGGAATACTAAACCAATTTTTTGGATCAATTTAGTACTTGTACTTGGTTTTGGTTTAGATACTTGTAATTTGATCAGAGGTTTTGGTTCAAATTTGGTATTGGTCTGGATTCGATCAGAGTTAGTTCATTCGTTTAGGAATATACCCTTAGGTTTTAAGGAATAATTTCCTAAAGATATATATATATATATATATTCAAACAGTACTAAAGATAGAACTGAGTTCGACTTTGTAATCGTTCTATCTTTGTCTCTTGAGATTTAATCTGTAACATTTGCTGAATTGCTTATACTCAGTTCAAAGCCTGAAACCTTTGATCTTAAGAGACAAAGATAACAAAAAAGAAATCGAAAGAGAAAAGAAATCTTAGTAAACTCAATGACAAAATGATTTGAAACAAAATCAAACATAACCAAACATAACCAAAAAGAGGGGAACATATTGTAACATACAAACCAGTTTATAAATGTAAACATAAAATAGTTTTAATTAAAAAAGAAAATAAAAAGGAAAAATATTGGGCTGAAGATTTGATATGGCCCAACTCTCTTATTGGTTTTGGTTTTGGTTTTGGCCGAGGGATTTCAGAGGATATTCATAAATTGTTTAAAACATTTCCAAAATAATCGATAAGACTTCATAAATTCTGAATTCTGGAATGGTTTAAGAAGTTTTTAAACGGTTTTAGGAAAGATCTACTACATTTAAGGAAAACCATTTTCATTGAAGATCAAGTTTAATTACAACAAGACAATACTGGATTATATACAAATCGTTTTATGTAAACAACTTGACAAAACGACAACACACAAACATATGACTAAAATCTCTTCACAATTGAATCTTTTGTTTAATCTTCTTCTTCTCACCAAATTTTTCTTCTTTGTTGCAGACTTGAATGATTCAGTCTCTTCACTCTTGAATCCTTTGATTAATCCCATCACTTCCTCTTCATCCACTTCAATTAAGAATTGTAATCCCAAGACTTCCTCTTCATCTACTTCGTCTCTTACCTGTGAGAATCCTGGTCACCAGGTTTGAACTTCAAATCTGTTCCTTCCAATATAAGCTAATTCATAAAAGCATCCAAGTATAAACTAATTCAGAGCGACCAAATATAAACCAATTTAGTTTAACCAAAATATAAACTTATTAATAAAAACCAACAGAGTTTTGACATTAAAAAAGTAGACAGCATTCGTAGTAGCACACATAAGTTTTTCATAAAGCAAAGATAAAGTTTCATAAAAAAAAAAAGACGACTTCAACAACTGAACATAAGCCAAACATAAAGGCAATTTTTTTTCAGGCTGCAGCGTGCTCCACAGTTCATGCACAAGCAATTGAATCAAAAGCAGCCTTGTCTTCCACGTAAAGTTTGGCTATCGTTTCATCAAAGTAGTCCCCTTCATTTATTTCTGGGGCAGTTAGTATCTCGTGAAGTTCGGTGAGGATCTGATTTCAAAGAATTTTAAAAACAAATTAGCAAAAGACAATAACGATTCATATTTTTCATAAACCAATATTGAGAATAGGTAAAATGATTACTCTATTGATGGTGTAGATGGGCGAGAAGTATTCATTTTTCAACATCTTAAGAAAGAAGTTGCCATAGACACCCACGTTTGGGTGAAAGATTTTTGTGTTGAACGAGACCTGCAAAAACATCGTGTTATTAGGAATCTTTTCAGAGTTTTAGGAATATAAAACTGTTGTTTATGAAGCACTTACTACAAAAACATGATATGAGAACCATTTCAACTATCAAACCCCTAATCATACATTCCGTGCCTTGAACGGGTAATCAGGAGGAAAGTGCATGGTGATTTTGAAAACCCCATTTTCATAAGGTGAACTTTTGGGCCTCATTAGCATAGCCTGCCAGTGATACAAGTCTCCATCCACCGGTCCTAATCACATCGGCAAAACACAAATTAGTAGTCTCCTGCAGAAGAAGGATTTCCTGCAGAAGACGAGTTCATGTAATAGAAATACACTGTAATACTTATTCGAAATACAGAAACAAAATACCTGCACTGAAGAGATCACTGTTTACCTTCCTTCAACTGCCTCGAGATGACTTTAGAAAAACATATTTTTGGGAATAACGAATATGGAAATTTTTTTTTCTGTGTGGGAAGGTGGTTCTTATGAAGGAGGATGAGATGGCTTTTATAGAGGAGAAGAGGGAGTCGGTTTTCAGAGAGGAGAAGGTGTCTCGTAAATCAGGTTTTCGAATAGTTGCGTTTTTTCAAAAAGGTAATTTAATTGACTTTTGACTGCACCATTTCTCTGTGAAGTCGTGTTAGAGTCGTGTCGTTCTATTGGTAATTTTCAGAAAAACGATCATTGGTAATTTTGAACTTTTATTTTTGTATAGAGCATAGGTCTTATTGATATTAACGTATGAGAAGTTTGGTTTAGTATAAAATTCTTGATTTGTATGAGAACTTCCTAAATTATAAATTCCTTGATTGGTTTAGATAGTTTTTCGAGCATTTTAGTAGGTCTTTATACATTTTTAGGAATGATTTTCTAAATTTTGTAAATGAATTATGAACTTTAGGGTTTATGAAGTTTTAATGGTTTATGAAGTTTGATTTCATTTGATTTCATATGCGAGCTGTCAGCCTAATGTTTTATGAAGTTTTTCTAACATTTTTAAGAAGCTTTTATAAAGGGTTAGTAAGTTTTTTGAAACACTTTAGTAAGCCTTCATAAAGTTTAGTATTAATCATTTTTAGTTATTAGGACAAATATTGACTAGACTCAACCAAATGTATTAGATTCAAATTACTTGATAAGAAAAGTATTAAGGAAATAGACAAAAATACAACTAGAATACCAGAGCAGTGTCATACTTATATGATGTGTTTTCCACTTGTTCGGCCACCTGGAGTTAGTCTTGAGTCTGCACTATTAGCTTGGACAATCTCCCATATCTTAAAACAATCAAACCATAGACATTAAAGCAAAAACAATTAATGTTAAAAAGGCATTCTAAGCAAGGTCTGGACATTCCTAAAACATAAGTCAGTTTCAAAAACATAAGACAATTGCAGAAGATTAAGTTCTAGTCAATCATAAATCCAAAAGCATAAGAGGAATCCCAAAGGTGTTCCATAAGAAATCCAAAAAGGTTAAATCCTAAATCCAAAAGCATAACACAATCCCGGAAGATGTTCCTAAATCTGATTAAACACATCCTGAAAAGCTTCCTCAAAGATCTGTAGGACAGAACTCCTCATATAGGTCGCATGCAAGCTTTGTTCTGATGTCATGTGTATTGCCATCCTCAAGCTTCGTCATGTCTCGAATGCCCATAGAATGGCATTCAAGACAAACAGAGCTGAGTTCGCAGGAAGATTGGTCTTCAGAATGTTTTTACCGGATAATTCTTCAACTTTATAAGGAACCATGTCCTCATCCGATCCATCCTTTCATTTGTCAGATTTGCAAACCCTAGAGTCTAGTTTAGAAGACTAGATGTCACCGGTATAAACGCTCGTCAACAGTCGATGGTTGATAATCGTCGAAGCAATCAGTTTCCTTTGGACAGTCGAGATCGAGGTATGAATGGCCGTGAGTACTCGCTTCCTTTGAATTATCAGCAAGAGCAGCCGCAAAGATTTTTGTATCCGATGGATGATTGTGTTAATGGGTATGGTGCTCATAAGTCATATAATCATGGTTTTCACGGACGTAGCAATAATGGTGTGATGAGTTCTCCTCGTACTGACTTCAATGGAAATTTAGGAGACGTTCCTTTTTCCCCAAGTAATCCTTTTGATCGAAGCCTTTGGAGTTATCATGATCTCTACACTATGAGTAGCTCTAGGGCTACGGGTACTACATTATCACGTGCTAAAGACCGTGGAGACTCCCAACGTGATTGCTCGAGGTTCAAGGGAGACGATTGATAAGATATTTGATGATTTGGTCTCACAGGTCTTCAAGCTGATGATTGACCCTGTTGGCCATGAAGTCCTTCAAAAGCTTTTTGAGAAATGCACCGATAAGCAGATCACTCGGGTTTTGGATGTAGTCATTCAGCAACCTATTCAGTTTATTAGGATTTGTGGCGATTCGCATGGGTACGCATGCACGCACTTCTGATATTCTTCTTTATATCTATTTGATCTGTAATTGATTATCTGTATTTTGTTTTTGTGATAACAGAACTCGTGCAATACAATTTGATGTGATGTCTTGGTTCTGATGAGCAAATATCCCGCTTGATGGTAACACTATGTCATGTTTCACTTGTTTTGACCAAGAGCACCAATGGGAACCATGTGATTTTGTTCTGCTTCACCCATTTTTTTCCCTCACAAAACAGAGTAAGCTATTAAACAGTCTTCTCTTACACCCAAAATATTTTTAGTGATATGTTGTAGAGTCCAACAATAAGTATACACTGAAGAGAGACCAGTTGTGGAGGTTTCATAGCTCTATTGCTTGTTTTACAAGAAAATGAGCAACGACAAGACCATAAATCTTATTTTTATAAGTCGGTTTGAACTTATATATAATTATTATTGACGTTTTTCTTGGTGTTTGTATTCTATACTTGACAGTATCTTCTTCAAGTGATTGCTCAAAATTGTTATCAAGTTGCAATTGATCAGTTTGGATGCTGCATGCTTCAACACTGCATTGGAAAATCCTGTCAAGAAATAAGGGATCCTTTGATTGAGGAGATCATCACCCATTCTCTGAGTCTATGCGTAAATTGCTATGGGTAAAATAATATGCATGGATTATACAAGTTACATGAATATGGGTTGATCATTAACACATTTTACTGCTTATGTTAAAGTCATCTTTGTTATTTTATTCAGAAACTATGTGGTGCAGTTTGTGTTGGAGTTGGAAGATTGTCATGTGGCAGCTGCTCTCTCGAGATATCTCGATGGGAATTATGCCCAACTCTTTTGTGACAAGTATGGGAGTCATGCGGTGCAAAAGTGTTTGACAAGTAGACAATTTAACTCGAGGAGGATCGTAAACGAGCTGATAAGTGACATTGATTCACTTCTTGTAAATCCGTTTGGAAACTATGTGATTCAGACTGCATGGGTTGTATCCTAGGTAATAAATGAACATTGATTTAGACTCGTTTTGTGTGAAATGATGAGCTTATCTTATTTTCTCGTATCTTATTTTCTCGTGTCTCGAAATCCATTCACCATTCCGCCACTCCATTCCAGGTCAAATATCTTCACCAGAAATTAGTTGAACTTCATCAAACTGAGATACTTTGACCCCGTATATGTTGTTCGGCTTGACAACGATCACTTTTCCTGCCCACCATCTATGCTTGAGAAATATATTGACTTCTCATAGCAGATCAAGCCCCCCTTGACCATCTCCAGATGATGGTTGTTTAGGACGCACTTGATGTTTGTTGACACCCTTCCTCAGCTTTGTTTCTTTATCAACGAAAATTTTCGATTATTCAACAGTGTCGACTTCTTCATTTATTTCTATCAATGTTCTTTCAAACCATCCACCTTCTTGAGATTTAATCTCCACATGAGCGCCTATATCAAATGGATGAAGGTCAGGATCTGTTATATCCTGCAATTACCAAAACAAGAGTTTGTTTTTAGAGTGTTTTTTTTAGAGTTTTGATTCAAGTCAAACTATTCTAGAAAAAATGTTACCTCAGGATTCAAGTCATCTTTTTCTTTAGGGGACACACGTGTTTGTGCCTCATCAGCAGGAAAATCATAAAACTTGTCTTCTTCCATCTAAAGTACAAAATATATAATATCCATTAGAGAACCATTAACATACGTTTAGGAAGAAATGTCTATATTCATCATTAAAACAAAACAAAAAAAACCATCAGTGGTATTTTTTACCCATTCCTTATGAATCCTTTTGTCCTCAATTTTGAATTTGTGTATTTCTTGTGTTTTATGGATGAGGACAGAGGCTTTTTTTCCTAAGATTTATTAAAATCACTGCACCTCTTCTCGTGTTCCCTCTAAAAAAGACATCTACCTCTTGATTTACAGTTAAATCCTCCAAACTTAATAAACTATCCCTTAGGCTACCATTTTCTAGGTAAGTTGAACTGTTTCCCAAGAAGATGGAATCTGGTTAAAAAAGTATGAAGCCTGCAAAATAAAGAAACTAAAACCCCTAAACCCTAAACCCCTAACATTTTATGGAATTTCTCACACATGATTTGAAAGACGTTTCAAGAATGTTTTTATACCTGGCTATGTTGGGACTAGGATCTACGCAGAAAGTGGACAGTATCTGTATGCCTTTTTCTTGTAATATCTGCAAATATAAAAAGTTTTAGGAACTTTTTTTTACAATTTATAAAAAACAAAGTATCAACTGGAGAACAAAATTCAAAACCTAAGGATCTTGATCTTTGTTCAGAAATAGATATGTGGAAAAAGCAAACTGAATCTGACTGTTAATGACTTTTATAATATCCAAATCTTTATCCTGAATCTGCGACTCGCCATCTGCACTTATCTGCAAAACATTTCATTGCATTTTCCGATAAATTTTTTCGTATGAATTTATAATAAATTTGGGACGCTTTCCTGGGTTTTTACGAAGGTCAAAACATTACCACCTCATCGGGTTTGGGTCCAAGCTTGCCAGAGGCAGAGATGTCATCATCACCAATATTTTTTTCTTGTTCCACAGCAACACCAGCATCGACGTCAGGCTCAGTTATTGAATCCAAAGAGGATTTGTTTTGAGCCATAGGATCTATATTTTCCTGCAGAAACAAAACATATATATTTTTATGGAGAATCATTTCCATAGATAGATGTTTTGGCAACAATTTTCAGAAAATGTTAATAACTTCAGAGTATTGATCATTGTCCAAAATTGGTTATGTGCATGTAGTAGATGGGTTTGGAGTCTCGATGGCAGTTTGGGTTTGAGTCTTGCTGATTTTTTGCGTTGGAGTCTCGCTGGCCTTTTGTGTTGGGGTCTCCATGACATTTTCCATCTGTAAATATTAATCTATTTTTAGGAAACGTTTCGTACGGCTTATAGAAGAAAGAAATCACATCTCATCATCATCATCATCATATACATATTGTACAAGTCAGAAATCTTACCTTGTCATCAAAACCGTAGTTTTGGGTGTCATACTGTATTTGAGATTCGTCAATAGCTTGTGTGCTTTGCTGCAAGAAGAATGCATTCCTACATTAAGGGATAATGACTTCCTAAATTACAGAGAAGACATGTAACTTACCTCTTCATGATCTTGAATGGTCGGATTGGGGAGTTGAACATCATCATTGCATATCTGTACCTGCAAATTTTTTTAAATAATTTAGGAAAGGTTTCCTAAATTACAAGAATGCATTCATAAATTAGGGTCTAAATTAGGGAGAATGCATATAGCTTACCTCTTCAGGATCTCGAGGTGTTGGACTGGGGATACGTTGTTCTTGAGGGGTTCGACTTTGGAGCTGAACATCACCACCGCGGACCTGCAAACATTTTCAAATAACATTTCAACATTATTAGGGAAGCTATAGACTGTTTTTAATAATGATTTCCTGAATTAGAAGAATGCATTACCTCTTCAGTGGAACCGTGTGCTTGAGCAACATCTCTGGGTGGAGACTTACCAGCGGAAGCGTTCTGTTGCACACCATCTGTCTTATACTGCAAGATCAAATAGAGGTAAGTCAACTCTCACTTGAACAAGAGTAATATATATATATATATATATAGCTTACTTTGGTGAATCCCATCTTTTTCTCTATGTTGGACAAGCTGTTATTGATATCACTTAGTCCATTTTGAATCATATTGTAGAGGTTGTCCAGCTTTGTCATCAATGACTCATCAGATGTCTCGGCTCCATCATTTGATGGCCCGGCTCCAGCATTTGATGGCCTGGATCTTGCAGCGACCCCAAAGCGGTGAGATTGTTGATCCATTGCCTCCATAACGTCAATTGTTTTGTAACCATTGGTTACAATGTCGACAAGGTTATCAAGATGTTCATCGGGATTGTCCTCCAAAAATACTGTGTCTTCAGGGTCATTTTGTATAAATGGTACGACACAGACAACTTTAAGCTGCACAGCATAAGTAAAAAAAGTTCTTAATTAAGTAATAACATCCTAAATAATGCAAAGCACTCTGAAAATCAAGGATTAGAAAACTTACATCGCGATAACCCTCTATCATCACAACCTGATTAGCTACAGGAATCATCAGCCTAAGATATTTCTCACATAAGAAAGATGTTGGCGGTTCATCAGTGTTTAGTGAACTGAATGAACTCTGAAGTTGGGGAACTGACTCCAACATCCACAGATTCAAGGATAATGGGAAACCGTGAATATCATATTTGGGTTTCCCTAGCCGTGTTGGAACAATCTTTTTAACTGAGTTTAGTTGTATCATGTAGGAGTCTCCCCATGGGTAACTCATCAGCGTCTCCAAATTCTGTGCTATCTTGAGGACCTTTTTTGGAAAACAAAATCCAATATATCTCGGAATTACTAAAGACTCGATGAGAATAACCATTGCCAGACAGAATCTCTCATCCTTGTTCTCCTCTGTAGCTTCAGTATGGATTAACAAATATAAGAGGTCCGAAGGTGTAAGATCATTTTCTACATCACCCCATTCATATTCTAACTCTTCGTCCTCTTTTTCGTTTTCTTCCAACTCAGAGCACTTCAGTCTCGTAACCATATGAAATTCTCTAGTAGAGAATCTCATAGGTTGTGCTCCGAAGTGGAACCATATGTCATTCTCTTTGACGGTTCTGACAGATCGAGTAAGAAACAAATGCACCATTTTCCCTGACATTATCATGGAATCTCTTAAAGCCATCTTCAAGATCGGTCCCATAAATGTGTTCCTAGCTCTCTGAAACTCTTTAATGCTGAGCTCATTCTTAACTTTCTCGATCATCTTAAAAGAAGCAAACTGGTTGACTACTGGACCTGGTTCTTGATTCGGCTCCTCTCCCATCTTGAAATGAAGCTTAGGGAGCGTAATAGTTGGGAAAGGGGGAAATAGATCCATTGAAAACCCTTCCTAAAATTCTAAAACCACAAACTCAAATCTCAGACAAACACAAACACAGGAATGAAAACAATGAACGAATCAAACACTAATAAACAAACCAGATTGAACAAACTTGATTTAACACCTACTACCACACAATCACGATGCCTTTGGGTTTAGGAATGCCTTCGGGTTTATGAAACACAAATCAGTGTTACGGTTTTAGGAAGGGAAATTGTACACAAACTCAATCTCAAATTCAGCAAACACAAATTCAATATTTTTTGAAATTTAGAAATCACAAACACAAACATAATTCAGGAAGACATTACTACATTTTTCCATACGAACAGATACAACCCTAATCTAACCTCAAACATTATCAGAGCATGTCCAACCATAGGTTCTAAAAATTTGGGTAAAAATTTATAAAATATTATATAAAATAAAAGTGTGTTAAAAAAGGAGGGATGGGTCTTTAAAAGAGCATAGAGGGGTTCTAAAATAAGAGGTTTTAGATACTCTCTCTCCTCTTTAAAGAATCCTTTAAATATTTTATTATTATTTTATATACATATGTTTAGAAAATTATTACTAGGACTCCCCATTGGAGATGGTCTCAATAACATGATCAAAATATAATCTCAGGGTCACGGTTTTAAGAATGCCTTTCTAAATCACTTAGAAATTTCCAAAAACCCACAAATCAGAATGAACTAATACAAATTAGAGAAACAAAACAAACAGATACAAAACAGGCCTACAAAAACGCCTTAGGGTTTATGAAAACAATTTGGGAATTCATTCCTAATTCGGGAACTAATACAAATTAAGATTTATGAAAGGTGAAATCAAGAAGAGACTAACCCAAAAATTGATGTGAAATGATTGTTCTTCCTCTTTCTGATGTTCAATAAAGCCACCGATGAAGCGATTTAAGCGACCGATATAGCGAAATTGCCCAAACCGAAATGAAACCCTAAATAATTTGATGATACTTCTTTCGCTCTCTGATTAGTTCTCAGAGGTGATGTTTCATGATACAATGAGTACTCGGACGAAGATTTCTTCAAATTCTGACGATGACGACGATGATTACGCCGGCAACGGTTGAAGTCTCGGGTTTTCTCGGAGAAAGTTTGTGAGGTTTCGTGTTTTCTCGGAGAAGCTGGAAATGAAGCGTTTCGAGTTTAATGAAGGCTAAGTTGGTCCAAGCCCAAATCAAGGACTATTCCATAGAAAAGAAAGTTTTGTTGGGCCATTTGGAGAATTGCCTAATTTAAAATATCTTTATGTATATTGCATAAATATTTAATTAATTATTAAACGTGTGTCAAAATCTAATTAGGTGAATTAGCAATTTCAAAATATTCGATTATATATATATATATATATATATATATATATATATATAAATTTTAACATATCCAATTTGGGTAATTAACAAACATATATGTGCCTCATCCAAAAACTTTCAGATAAGAGGAGAAGATTCACTTATTTTAGAAGGTATATTGTTCAAAGTTTTACTTATTCCCTAGTTTATATAAGAAAAAATGATAGCTAGCTACACAAACTATACTCCATCACATGGCTACAAATGCATATTATAATGATGCATCGCTAACGACACGAACTATATGATCTACATAACGATATGTATGAATGAACAAAAATTATGTGATTAACATCATAGGCATATCAGGGGTTGATGAAACAGTGTACTGGAGGAGGATTCCGGCATACTATTAATTTATGTATCAAAAACTACACGACTATATATACTACACAATGTATAAATAAGGTATCCAAAACTACACGATGTATAATTAATTTATCTAAAACTACACGATAATATTATATGTAGCTGAATACAACACCAATTGACAATGTTATACATAACAATAATCTTGACATATAAACCGCAAAAACACGACTAAAAATTTGGACTAATTGTTACAAAAACATTTTTCCTTTATAGGAATATAATCGACGAATATATAGATCTTATCTCAGACTTTTGTAACTGAATTAATGTTTTTCCTCTATATTTATGTGAAGAATGTCCAAAAGCATGTAATTTTTGATGTTCGGCAACAAAAGGCCTTATACTTCTTCAACATATGTTGTAGAAAATGTTTGTGTGTACCTTCAGAAACGTATGGACATAAAGAAGAATGTTTTTGCCATGATAACTGGAAGATTAAGAGAGGTAGCCCAAAATGTCCATGATAACAAAGATATTAAAGACAAAAAAAATTGCTTTTGTTTTCTTTTAATAGATCTATGTATTTGCCCATGGTTATTTTTTAATATATAAATAAAATATGAATTCTTACTTTAATGCAAGGCTAAATTTATTGCACACATAAATTTATTACAATAATCCCATAAATGCAAATCAATTAATCATAAAACAATCCAATCTCCATGGTTACCCTTTCATAGCAAATAATCAATCATTTCGATAAAGTTGAAACAAAGAACAAATTACAAAACTGAAATCATAAGAATGTACAGAGACTAAACCTCGCAAACGGTAGATAAGATAGATACGAGATCTAGACTTTCATTACCATCGTCTTTGTAGTTTACCATTACAATTATCAAGGAAAGTTTTGCCCTGTTATATAAATTTTGTTACTACAGTGTTTACACTGCACAGAGTGTTCTATAGTGGTGCAAAGATAGATTGTACAGTGGTTTAGTGAGTCGCACTTTCTACAGTAGTAGGACAAGGAGTCTCCTGGAGAAGGACTGAACTCATCTTCAGAATGATAAGTGGTTGCCGTGTTTTTTAAAAAATATTCTCCCCCGCATTGTCTCGATACGCTTGGTGGAACCAGCATGTTGGAGCTTCTGTGCTCATCGCCTTCCAAATTCCTCCTCATCTTGATTGTCTCCTCTGCCTCATCCATACAACTCACACTTCAATTTATAGCAGCAAGTCTTTGGCATTTCAGTGATGTATATAACTGTTTATCTATATATTGTGTTAACTAACGAAGTGAAATAGTAATTAACTACTTAACCAAAACATAATTATAAAGATACTAATAATTCTAATTTTTTTAAAAAGACATGATTTTATCAAATAATAGAGTATATAAGTAAGAACCCTATGTGAATACATGTAATTAGATAAATATTTCAGTTTATCAACATATAAATCTTTTACTAGCTAGTCATTGAACATGACTATGGGATAAAGGTAAAAGATAAAAAAGGAAATCTCACTGAGTTTGCGGATTTCAGTTTGAGCACCAAAAGCTTCATCCATATAAAGCGGACACACGAGGAAGAGAAGAAATAACATTGAAGAAACTATAGACGACGACATCTTAGTATACTTCTCTCTTTATCTTATCACGAATCACTTAATCTGACCTAATTAGTTTGCATGGATCTGAATCTGACCTAATCAACTCTCTCTTCACTTCACCTAATCAATATATGACTAACGTTTTTGCATTTATATAGAAGAGAAAGGTGGATAAGAGAGACCAAAAAAATATGGTAGAGACTTAAGCCTAAAAAAATCAAGGTGGTTGAGATAAGGTGGTCATCAGGAAAAAAAAAATTGTTTCGTACTCGTTCCACAATAAAAAGAACAAGGTGGTCATCCAAAAATAAAAATAAAAAATTCTGCATGTTGTTTTGTAATCATCTACCACCTTCCAAACTCTCAGTACTATATAGCAATAGTCGATCTCTCAAGTCTTACTCGGTATAGTTTTGGTTTACCAATTTATGTAGTTTACGGATGTTATTCCAACTATTCGAATATATATATGAAGTTAAAAGTTGTAAAGTTGTAAGTAACAAAAAAAAAAAAATAGACCCAACTATTCGAAAATATATCTGAAGTTAAAAATGTAAAGTTGTAACTAACAAAACAAATTAGACCTTTTATATAATAAAAGTAAGAAGACGAAAAAGGGAACATACATATAAGACATGTTTAGGTCTAACAAATGAAAATAAAAATTCAAATATCTTTGTAAGAAAGAGACAAGTTAACCAAGACTCGAAGTCTCCAACACATGACTGTCGACTGTATACATAAAAATGTACGTTAGAAATTTCTTAGGGAAATATCCATATTTTTGGCATCTGCTTATAGCCGGCACTGTCGCTAGCTAAAGAAAATGACACCGTTATTATTATGCATGTTTTTTTAGTCAAGAGAAGTGTATTTGACCTAGTTTATTATGGGTTTTAGTGGTCTCCGCACACACTATGTTTTCGTTTACTCAGTCAAGTGGGGTGGGGGGGGGGGGACATCGTATTATTTAATCATGTGACCCCAAGCCCCTCGAAAGGGACTCATTCTTTGTTGTTTGTGAAATAGATTCTGTATCCTTAGCCAAACATCTCGAGCTCAGTTCTTTATCTTGAGAATATAGTTCACCAATAGAAATCAGATATAGTTTCATACATTCACATCATCATGAGATTGTCACGCAACTTCCATAAGTCAACAGCTTTGATCAGAGACTTAAATATGATCTCGAATGGCCGTGAACTCTGCAGATAACAAAATGTATTACAAGAAAACTCACACCACCACGTTCATGAGCGTCAAGAGTGATTTGCAACAGTGAGTTTCGATGTTCGAGACCCCAAATAGTTTTTTTTTAAAAACAATTTCAGTGGTATGTTGACACATAGTTATTAGAAAGATGGGTAATGGTGGAGGAAGAAGAATATTTGGTGAGATAGGAGAGATCGAGAACAAAAAGAAAAACTCACAGACAGTGTCAACTCAGATACATGAGAAAAATAATCATCGCTGTGTTGAGTGGGCTTAAATGGTCCACGCTTGTGCTGGAAAGAAAAACGGCGTAACAGAGGATGGAGATGAAAATTAAATGATAGTGTAGGGATTAGGGAGTCATCGACTGGTTCTAATTATAAGTGAATTTAGTTTCAAAAATATCACTTAATATATCATTTACTATAAAAAAACTAGTGTAAGAAAATATATCACTTAATATAAAATTTGTTGGATGAATTTCAGAACAACCATAATCAACAGAAACTTCCCACAAATATATCCACCTTAATAGGTTTCATCATCGATCATCGCACTCCTCGTCGACCGGTTCGTTTTTCATGAGACTTCGCGCATTCCAAACCAACAAATTCACTTCATAGGTTCCATTCCATCATTACACTCCTCATCTGTCATTATATCGACCGGTTCTATGAGACTTTACACATTCAACCAACAAGTTCACCGTCTTCATTCTAAGGGCATCTCCATCGGCGCCTCTTAAGAGGTTCATCCGATGGATTCATCATTTTTTTATTTAATTTAAATGCAAAACCAATAAAATCGGAGGAGTCGGGTCTTTCCGAAGGATTTTTGGAACCGATTTTGGGCGAGAGTGGCAACAAACGATTCGTAATTTTTTTAGGCTTCTCTCTTCTCTCTCTTCACGCGAGACCTCGAGTAGAAGAAAACATTTCTCGTCCTTCTTCGTTTTCTCCGATAAAAAAACCTCTCCTCCTACGAAAAAATCTCCGAAAAATTGGTGAGTGTAGAAGACAATTTCTGGGCCGTGCTTTGTAGAAATCGTAATCGAGGTACGTTCTTGAACAATTTTAGTTGTTTATCATTTTGAGTTGAAGGTTTTAGCTAAATCAAAATTAGGGTTTTCGATTTGGGGGTAAAATTTTGGGATTTTCGTTTGATTCAAATTAGGGCAGGGGTTGTCTAGGTGTGTGATTCCGCCGGTTAGGGCTGTGTATTAGACGATCCTAACCACAAAAAACTCTTATGCTCAGATTTTGCGATTACGTTTTGAAGTTTTGCGGTTTAACAAGTTTTGTTGATTTGAGGGTTTTCTTTGATTGGTGTCAACCGTGTGGTTGAGGTGTTGTTTGGGTTGTTATATGGGTTTATTTGGTTTCCAAAGTTGTTTGGATTAGCCGAGAACTTCAAATCAAAAGTTTCTGAGTTATGTATATGTGTGATTGTGAGTTTGTTTGTTTGCGAGTTATAAGTATAGGTAGCTTGGTTATTTGTATTGTTCTTGTCGTGGTTGTTGATGATTTGCGAGTTATAAGAAAAGCTTTATAGGTTATAGGGTGTTTGATGTATATGTTGAATGGTTTTCAAGTATAGGGTTTTTGATGGTGCTTTGATATTTGCAGATAATGCCTATTAGTTACTCAGAGTCGTCATCTGAAGCACCAGAAGAGGATTTGGGATGGGCTTATGCGGATGCGGATTGGGGAATCCCTGAGAAATGTTTTTGTGGACGTCTCATGAAGCTTGAAACTGCGAGTGGTTTAGCTTCAGGGAATGGTGGGCGCAAGTACTACAAGTGCCCTGTTTGGGTTAAAGAGGTATGACTTCTGTAGCTTGTGTGTATGTTTTCTTGTGTTTATTGGTTTTAAATGTTTGCTAACACACCATTTATGTAGGGGATGGGAGAGCACATCTGCAAATGGTGGGACGAGGGGATTACAGAGGAGATTGGAATCCTGCAGAGACAGGTCGCAGACCAAAAGGAGAGGTTGGCTACGCTTGACAAAGAAGTTGCCTTCGATCCGCGGATTAGAGAATTGAGGGATGAGGTTGCACTGCTTAAGGAGGAAATTGTGATGCTGTTGGACGAAATTGCGATGATGAAGGAGGAAAATGCGATGATGAAGGAGGAAAATGCAAAAGCAGGTAATGGGGCTTTGACGCTGTGTGTACTTGCTGTTTTGTTGCCATTTCTTATCTATTTAAGTAGAAGAAATGATTTGCAGCAACTGCTATGTTTAGGAGTTATATGTTCTAGTTTAGGAGGTTTAAATTTCACTACTTAAGACTATTGTGCTAAGTTAGAACTTGTTGTTTTTTTTTATGATGCATTCTCAGATGCGTAAAAATTTGTTTGTATTGGTTAATGTTGTGACGGATACGTTATTAGACTGGTTTTGTTCCTTGGATTAGTTTATTCGGATATGTGTTTTTTGAGTGTTGGGGTGGAGACCAAGACAGGTGCATTAGACGCGGTTGTTCTGTGCTTCTTAAACCCTTGTCAGAAAGGTAATTCATAATTTTGTTATGTAGTTTTGGAATTCTTTAAGTCTTTAATTCCTTATATGTCTTTAATGTAATTATATTGTTTGTTTGGTGAGGTTTAACGGGGAGACAAGCAAGGATACTGAGATGAACAAAGACAGAAGGTCAGTGATGGGATTTGCTTTTAATGAATCACGCGAAAAGTTTAGTCAGACTCGTAACTTTTAGTTAGTTTACATAGTTAGAATGCAATGGTGGCATTAAGTTGTTAGGTAGTGTTAAGAATAAATGCTAAAAGTTATGAATGCTTGGTAGGTTTAAGAGTTAAAACCGGTATGACTTTCTTTTCAATGGTTGGTAGGTTTAGGAGTTAAAGCAATAAATCATTTAAACCCCATGTTAACAACTTTAATAAATAGAATGAAAACTTATCGAAATATCCACAAACCCCCAAACCTCATCTGAAAACTCCTAAAAAATACTAAAACAGTTCGAAACTTTCACAAACCCCTAAACCCTTCTTTCGAAATCAGTAAATGGATTCTCCTAATCCATTTAGCAGCTCTCAGGGTTTCGTGAATCTCCTAACCAGCCAAGTAGATTACCCTTATACTTTTCCTGCAACAATCGACTTTGCATCATCAGACCTCCCTCGGTTCAGTAGCCAAGGTTCTATTGATCCAAGCAGAAATGGTGAAACCAGCAAGCAAAGGAGGCAGTGGACGCCAAAAGATGATGTTGTGCTCATCTCTGCTTGGTTGAATACCAGCAAAGACCCAGTGGTGTCAAATGAGCAGAATTTTGGAGCGTTTTGGAAGAGGATAGCAGCGTATTACAACAACAGCCTTAAACTTAGTGGAGCCGATGCTAGATCATGGACTCAGTGTAAACAACGATGGGGGAGACTGAATGAACAGGTTTTGATGAGGACATGGCCCCTAAAGATACTTTTCCAACCATGAAGAACCCTCCAAGGACAAGATCAAGACTTAGAAAGCTCAGGGAAGAGTTTAACAATGCCATGGACACCTTGATCAACCAAAGCAGCTTAGAGGACATCACCAAGGGTATTGCTCAACTCGGCCTCGATCAACCGCTTCTCAACCAAGTAGCAATGAGTTTAACGAAGGACAAGATTCTATCATACAAGACAAGGACCAGAGCGAGGAAGAACTAAAGCTTGAAGATCAAGATCATGGCGACACAAGCATCAAGTCTACACCAACTGTGGAATGGCCACTAATAAAGACTCAAGGAGCTCGCATGATCTTCTCCATTGAAGCTACAAACGACTTAGTGTCAAAACGACACCAAAGTGAGTGTTTGGTTTAATTATATTTTTAAACTAACGAGTTTCCCTCTCTTTGTTTTGCAGAATTTGTCTTAAGGTCCTTATTAGTTATATTTCCTTTTAATTTAGTCGAGAACTCTAGTAATGTTTCTATTTTGCCTTATTTACTTTACAAGAGTCTGTCGCAAGTTTTCTTTCATTTTCTTGAGTCTCTGTCAACCCTAGAAGGTCAAGGCCGAAGGACTGTT